TTGGCCTTCCTTGAAATTCATATCTGCCCTGTCACCAAAGGGCACTCGTGGCAGTGTGGCGCAGTGGTTATTGTGTCTAGATTATATGCTGCACTATCACAGTTCGAGTCCCGCTAGGATTGCTGATGAGACCTGGTGGAAACTTTGGCCCAGTCTGGATGATAATACTCTTTGGGAAGCAAAACTATATAGAATTTAATGGAAACTTAAGACCTTTGATATTATTGCGGGAAAATTCAACACCTATTCCTTCATCACATTAACGAAATAGGGTCGATACATCTCATATGTGTGATCTACTGGTAGTTCGGAGGCCTACTTATAAACGAAAAATTGACCATGGCTTTTTATTTATTTAAGGATTAGGAATTTATCAAAAGCTCGCTTTCTATCAAGTATGATAGATGCACACAAGGGGCACATTTAGACATGTCCCCTTAACCATAATAGTAGCAACTGGAGTTCCAGGGGTCTCTTAAAGTTGCTTTTATTCATGACGTACTTCGTAAGGCACAAGCATCCACCTTTTAGTCCTATATCTCCTCCTGGCTCTTAATGTCGCCAAATAAAGGCGATGAAAACTTACTTCGTCTCGCTTTTAGAGAGACGCCAACCTTTGTATTTTATTCAGTTATTGAAGTGGCAATTTTATTGAGACATACATTATACCCTATTGATGTTTTTAGAAGCTCAGGTTTCTACATACCTACGGTACCCTATTGTCTTCATTTCCTCCTTGATATTCTTTAGCCTCAAAATAAGGTCAGGTAGTACTTTAGGTGCGTAGCCTCGTGATACACCACAAGCCCACTGTCCGTATACCGAATAGTTGAATAGAAATTCAGAGTTGAGCGAATTCAGCATAAATTTTGATGTCGTTTTTGGCTCAGAACCAACATTAGGCGAAATAAAATTCAATATGGCTGGCTTATAGGAAAGATGTATTCGCCCTATTTCGTTTAAAGTGATAAAGGACGTGTAGTAGAATTTTCCCAGAATGATATGAGTAGAGCTGAGGTTTCCATTGAATTTCACATAGCCTTGCTTTCCCAAAAGTTGTTCTTATCCTGCATGAGAACCAGTCCTTCATCACCTTAAACGAAATCGGGTGAATACATCTCGTATTACTGATTTACTGGTAGTCTCAAAAATCTACTTACACATAAAAAATTATAGAAAAAAGTCATGCCATTTTCCTTCTTCATCTCTTCACTCTGTCCTTGCCCCTTGTTCTTTCGTCACAGTGACAACCTCGGGTCTCTCCATCGACTGTCTACTTGCATCCCCAACAGGTCTAGCTGACACTAGCTACCTGGACCGGATTGGTGTCGACTCTGGCCATATTACGGGACTCGGAAGTAATGGATATCGCGAACGCCGTGATCCATATTTCTCTTATGGTCGTGTTGGTATGTTTGGACAGCGTTCTGGCACACTGACAGGCCTAGACAGAGCAGCGACCGATGAAACGGCTGCCAGCAGTACTGAAGTTGGGGTCGAAAGTGGACGAGGCGGCGCAGGCTGTAGTGTTGGACGAATTGCTACCGGTCATAACATCCAACCATGGCAACGAATTAGTGAGCTGAACCTTGATGAGCTGGAAATGGCCTATCCAACCGTACAGAGTTGGCTACGCCCGTCCTCTCACTTGCCGGGAAAGGAATCGAAAAAATATACTGTGAGTCTGAGGTCACTACAAACATTCGATCGACCAATCATCTTTTAGCTGTAAGCATTCTATGATATCGGCAATGTAGTCTTATTTAGCTTGTGAGTATTCCACTCCCTGAGAGACTAATCATCATAGGACGTCAACTGAATAGGCCGATATTAGACAAAGCAAATCTCCATATTTTAAATAACCGCTAGACATTATGGCTGAAGGATGATACAAATTTTATTTGGAGGCTGTATGAAGACCTCTTAACCCGATATGTAGTATCAGGCTATGTTATGTGTGCCTCCTGAGACTATTTGTGCAGACTTATACTTTGGCCGTTTACATGCATGGCGTTTTTACTAGCTGCTCCTCACCACTTCTAGACCTTTAGATGAATTTGGCTTCTGATACTTATGGGGTTGATCTCGTCATTAACTTACATAATAAGGCTGGTAACGTCTATTGGTTAAAAAAACACTTTTTTCAGGCTTTGGTGTCAACTAACTGATTTGGAACTCCCTCTGTGAGATCGACAGCGGCTCCTCACTCGATGGACATCTTCAGTTTTTACATC